CAGTGACAGCTGAAAAGGCCCACAGGTGCCATATAAAGAGGTGACCATGTTGTCATATTTCATTTAGGCATCCCTCTGCAAAGCCATAATTACCTAATTAGGTTGTTAATTAGGAGATTAGCATTTCACTGTATTGATAGAATGCTCTTTGCAGGCACGAGTCGAGATACAGATTTGTCTGCCCGAATTTATAATCTCTGCATTTTTTGTACTTATTTATTTGCTTAAAATCTGGATGCAGAAGAGCTCAGGTTAGTGGGGGATCTACTTGTCTGCAATTGAGCGAAGACTTGACGTGATCAGGCAAGGGGAGAGCGAACACTTCCCATCCACACCCCGATATTTTCTCCCTCCTCTGCAGCTCAGTAATTAAAATATTGGAATTGGTGTAATTTGCTTCCTGATGAGTATGACAACAAAAGCATAGCCAAATTCCAGGCGGTTCAGAAATAGAGAGCTGATGCCAGATTGATTTGCAGGTCTGGAAAGGAGCAAATAATGTGCTGGAAGTTGTGGTTAGTGTCGTGTGTGCTCGTCGTGCGTGCTCGTCACAGCCTGTGCGCTCTCCCTGGTGAGAGAGCCTCTTTAAACGCTGCAAATGATCGTTCCCTTTCTAACGACAGGCCCGGGCGAGTGGCAGCTCCTCCAGATAAGGATTCACTCTAAATGCACTTGAGCGTTGGCTGAAACACAAACTCCAGTGTTCGCATATTGCCGCTCCCTTTCCTTTATCCTGCCTGCCCAGGGTCTGCCTGCCTTCGGGGCTTGATTATCTGTGCTGCTGCAAATGCAGATAACCAGAACCATTTCTTTTGCAATTGCAGACAGAAGTTCACTGGGAAATTATTTCATATAACCCAAATCATAAATTTTGAAGTATGCTCATGTCCTCCTGCTTATGTGGTGGTGTGGGGAAAAATCAATTTTTAATTCTTGCCTGCCCATCTTGTCCATTAGTTTCTAAGATCACTTTAAAGAGCTGCAGTCAGGGAGGTGTGCGAGGCCAGTGACTGTGGAAGCCCTGGAGGGACAAGATGACCTGTGACGGTGTAGAATTCTTCCAGCCTGCTGTGTTTTGGGTTTGTTAGCAACTGTCTTGGATCCAGGTAGTTCCCTCCACAAGTTGTGTCCTTGGAATACTTTTGTTTACCTTGAATGGGCCTTGAATGCTTTATTGCTTCCTGTAGGAGGACAGGCAGTTTGAACATGTTGTCTTCTAAAGAGCAAAAGAAGCAAGTTGCAGCTTTGCAGAGTAGGAGAGAGCGATTCTTTTGCCTGTTTCTCACTTATAATCTAGAGAGGGGAAATACCTTGCAGGAGCTGGTTGAGAGCTTTGTGCAGAATTTAGAGCTGCTTTTAGCTGTTTCAACTGACGGATTCTTAAAGTCATTCCATTAAAATCGGTGGAATTTCAAGGTATCTCCTTCCTGCAGCAGAACATTACTAGTTGCTTAACTTTCTCTGATTTTATGATTTATTGCAGCTTGTTTAGGGGTCTGTGAGCAAACCTACGTGTGATGTATTTTGAAACACAAAAGGCAAAAATATCAACACTTTGTGTGAGGAAAATACTTCCCATGCTCTGACCAGTTGTAGGATGCTGTGGAAAGGCAGTGCTGGCTTGGCAGTTTGGGAACAGCTTCCTCCAGTGGCACTCCACGGCATTCGGTGGAGCCGGAGTTTCTGACCTGGAGAATCAGCCCCTGATGGGACAGGTGTGGGTGTGGAAGTGCCTGTTGGCTCTGGTGTCGCTTTACCAAGTCCATAGCTCTGCTGGAAAAGGTGTTGGGAGCAGGGCTGGGGCAGAGAGGTCCTGCCCCACTGCTGTGCTGGTGTGGATGAGCACTGAGCTGCCTTGTGCTGGGCCACAACAGGGAGGGGTTTTGTGAAATTCCACCGTGTGTATTGAAAGCAAACCAGGAAATTCATTCCAAAATGACTGTGTTCTCCCCAAAGTAAGGAGAGCTGCGCTCAGCGTTTCCCTGCTCAAGGTGACACGTTTGCTCTGGAAGCAGCAGTCAGGCTGGCACATGGTTGCAGTCCCGGCGGTCGGTGGGTCGGCACAGATTCTGGCTCCAGCTGTGCTGGGATGGATGGGGAGGGTGACAGCCACGAGGTGTGTGCTCAGCTCATCCCTTCTCTCCCACTGGCTTCAGTGTCTCCCTGTCACCCAATGTAGGTTACCGTGCAGGTAGGATACCACGTGTGGGTTGTTTTGGGGGAAGGAGGGAAGCAGGCAATCTTTATTCAAATAAATAGAGTACATCAAGCACGCAGGAGGGTCACAAGAACAGTTAACATGTTGTGATGATGGAGTTGCCTCCCCAAATTCAGCTGCGTTCAGCTGTGTGTTTAAGGTACAGCCTGTATAGCTGCAGATCCTTTTCCAAGACCTTTGTGTCACCTCCTGGGAGCGGAATCGTTTGTTAGCGCTCCGTACCCCTCCTCGTGCGCCGGGTTATGAATGAGGCTGATCTGCATAAAGCCCTGCTTCCCTCGCTGGAGAGTCTGTCGGTGCCATAAATATAGCCGTGGGGTACTGCAAGAAGAATACTGCTGGTAAAAATAGGAGACTGAGATGCAGCTGTCTGATTCTGCCACCAAGTTCCTGCGAAACCTGGCGAGTCATTCAGCTTCTTGATGGTGCAGTTCGACGTCTCTGGGGCCGTGCTGGAGCTGCACAGACTAGCGGGGCCGAGGAGAAGGCCAGAGGGAGCATTCCTCCCTGGGGGGTTGGTCAGACAGTGCACGGAAAGTCAGGTGAACAGTAAGGATCTGGAAGAAAGCGAAGGGCTGATTCGGGTCTGCCCACCCATGTGTGAATCCTGGAGGTGTTTGCCCATCAGTGCATCGTCCAAACCAGACTGTGGTCCTGTTCCACAGAACTGCTGCTCAAGTCTTAGAGCTCTCGTGTTGCTCCATTCGGTTTCAGTGTTTGCATAGAGTGTGTTTGGCAGCTGCCTGCAAAGTGGTTTGTCCAGTAGCAGAATATTATTTATACAGTGCAAGTATTAGAAGAGCCTTCATTTTTCGTTTGTGGTTAAAAGATGCAGAAGTTGCTGATGGATCCTGTTGAATTCAGCTCCTCCCACGGCGCTGGGGCTGGAGTGTGGGTGTAGCAGTGCAGGGGGCTGTGCTGGCAGGTCTCAGCGGTCTGGGCATTGGTCTTGGCTCTGTAATTTTGCTGGAATTGATGACATGGAGCCTCCAAGGTGTTTGTGTGAAGGTTTGCAAAACTGAACTTTGCTTCTGTGAGTTCTCTCTCCTCGCTGGAGGTCACTGCTGCTCAGAGCAGGTCTGAGCCGGTGAATCGTGGTTTGCCTTTATCCAAGGGAGGAGCAGGTTAGAATTGTGTAGGTTACAATTCCTAAACATGGCATTAAAATCTGAGCTGAATTTTGGGGTCTGAACTTCTTTCCTGATCTTTTTTTTGAGGGGTGTTAACTGTTCAGAGAATTTCCAGTGAACATAAATTTATCGATAAATTAGTTTTAATGTGTCTTTGAAAATCCTGAAGAGGAGGAAGGCGAAACTTTGGAGTTTGAAGCAGAATTTATGTCGCTCTGGCTGCAAGGTGTGCGGGCAGCTGGGCAGAGGCCTGGGCTACTCCACCCACACTGCTGGTGGCAGGAGTCGGGGTGTACAGGTAGAACTCTCGCATCTGCCGTTACGTGTTGTTAACTCCCTCAGCAGACATTAAATCATTTCAAGTACAATAATAGTGTGGGAGGTAAATTAACTAACCATTAACAATCTTATAAATACACAATTAACATGCCAACATTTATATGACACATTGATGGGGCAGCAGTAATTTTTGATTGGGAGTTTGCAGACCTTTCCGATGCCTGAGGCTGTTGCTTATTTAAACAAGTTCTTACTGCTTGCAGGTACAGGTGGCCTTTCCTAATCAGCTGGGCAGAGAGAGCTCAGTCTGGAGAGCGTTCCCAGTGTGTGATTTCAGTGCCCATAGGCTGTACCTGTGTGTGTCTGTTCTCTCACCTGGTGCAGTGCCACGGTCAGGCACAGCAGTGGTTCCCCTGGATGGGACGTTGCCTTGTGGTCTCCCCGTGGAGGCAGCAGGGACCCTCAGCCCACAGCTCCCCAGGGCTGGTGCCAGCTCCAGAAGGTGGTGGCAGTCCTGGACTGGGGCCGGGCAGGACGTGAGGTTGCCTCGTTCAGAGGCAGCTCAGGCTTGAAGTAGACTGATACAACTATAAATCCACAGCAACAGAAAAATCAGGTAACAGCATGACTGTGGTTTGTGTTTTGCGGTTTGGGGTTTATCCCTTTTCCTTTTTGCCCTCTACTTAGTTCCGTAAAGCTGCTTGAGTGCTATGAATGAAATATTTTTGGTAAGTGGCAATTACTGCTGTTAAAGTGCTTTCGAGCTCAGGCATGTGGTATCTGGTCACAGCTCTCCTGGTGTTCCTGTGGCTGCCCCGAGAGCTCTGTGAGCAGCAGAGGCTCAGGATTCTGCCCTGAGACTCCTCTCCTTGTGTTTCCTGGGAGTACAAAACCTGAAGAGGATCTGTAATAAGGTAGTCAGAGAGTTGCTGTGTAGGGGCAGGAGGAAAACAGTGCCACGGTTGTGGTGGGTGAAGAGAACTCCAAACCCCTGTCTGGTTTTGCAGGTTGGTTAGTTGGAACAGACAGATATGTTTCTGGTGTGTATTTTCTCTCTCTCCTGCTGTGTGTAGTGCTTGGAGCACTTTGCCTTACAGCAGCTGTGTGCTGTAGGGTACTGGGACCTCTCTGTAGATGCCTGGGGTGCTCTGTTGTCTCGGGACTCAGGTTTCAAGCTCTCCTCCATGCCCACTGTTCCTTAAGTGGATCTCAACCACCAGTGTAGCCTAAGTGAACTGGAGCAGAACGAGAGCAGTTCACCCCCAGTCAGTCAGGTCTGTGCATCCCAAGCAGCACCGTCTGGAATCAGAGCTTTGGGCTGCTGTGTCTGGGCTGTTTTCCTTAAGTGCTGTCTGCGTTATTTCCAGGTACTTGTGTCCATGAAGCAAGATGGAGAGAAGATAGTACAGTGACGTGTGGAGCTGTGGACAGAATGGCTTTCCTGGACAACCCAACCATTATCCTTGCTCACATTCGGCAGTCACACGTGACCAGTGATGACACAGGGATGTGTGAAATGGTCCTGATCGATCATGATGTTGACCTGGAGAAGTTTAATCCCTCGTCAGCATATGGGGATAATGGGTCAGAACCACAGGGAAGCAATGGGGAGACTCAGGGCTATGTATATTCCCAATCAGTCGATATTACCTCAAGCTGGGACTTCGGAATCAGAAGACGATCAAACACAGGTAGGTGATGCTTGCAGCGAGGTAACGTGGGCCTTGGGAATTGAGTTTCTCTTGGTGTGGCTTGTGTGGACAGGTGAGAGCGTGATGGGCTTGGAGCCTGTCAGACTGCTCCTTTTGTGATGTTGGGGCCCTTCTATAGAGGGACATGGAATGACTCAGTGCTGTCAGCTGAGCTTTAATTGCTGGTTTACTTGTTCTTGCACAGAGGAACATTGAGATAGTTGGTTTTATGTATGAAAAAAAATTCAAATTGTAAAGGCATCAAGTCTAAATCCAAAGTACACGAACAGCCTTTGATATCTCTATTGTTGCTGTCTGGAGGGGTGTTAACTTTTGATCAGGATAGTTATTTTCTGAGAAAAAATCAGCCTAGTGAGGCATCAAATGCATTTGTTATAAAGAGAGGAGTGAAGTGTGATGTGAGCCAGGGAAGGGGATGATTTGTCTGTATTTTGTCTCCTGAAGTTTTATTTCTGAGCTCGAGTTTCAGCTACCAAATTAGAAAGTCTGAGGGTGAACACCTCTGCAGAATGCACTCAGTTTGTCGTGACTGGCAGCAAGCTGTCCTGGGGTTTCACACGAGGGATATCCAGACTTCTGGTTAGTCCTGAGCAGTATGATGAACAGTTCTGTGGGGTGAAATACAGACAAGAAGGTTGGCGTGGGGTGGGCAGTACTGAGCTCCTTTTTCTGTCTTACAGTGCATTTGTTTGCAGATGATTTCTGCAGGTATTACAACACCACCTAGAGCTCTGTACTCTGCATGACCAGGAACGTGTGTGGTGTGGGAGAGACTGAAATGCCTTTTACAAAGAGGAAGTTGTGAGAAGTTCCAAAAGCGCAGAACACTGACCTCCTGTACTGGGGGTGAGATTTGGGAGTGGGAGGCCTGGTGGGAGCCCAATGTGCCAGGCTGCCTGGGCTGGGGGAGCACAGGAGAGGGTGCAGCTCATGAGGAAGGAGAGGCAGAGTTGGAAGTTTTATAGAATTGTTCCGAAAATAACTCTGGTTATTTCACCAAGGGAACAGATGGGTGAATAGTCTCCACTGGATTAGGGATTGAAGTTATTTCAGGTGCCTATGGGGGCATATGCTAAAATCATGGCTGGGACACTCAGGGAGCTGATTTTCTGCCTCCTCCTCTGGCATGTGGAGTGGAGACAGGTCTGTGTGAGGTGCTGGGGGTGTGGGAGAGCAGCAAACCCTCCCAGTGCCCATGGCCAGCAGCAAAGTCTCAGCCTAGGCTGGTAGTTAGTGAAACCACAACTGCACCAGGTCAGTGACAGTTTTCACATCGAGAGCTTCCCCTGGCACTTCTTGCTGCCTGCGAGAGTGAGCCCTAAGGAATTCCATGCCCAGTGGGTGCTGATATCCTGCCTGGCCTGGCCAGGCCGTGGCACAGTCCCACAGTCAGCAGTGGCCTGGGATCAGCTGTAGGGGGAAGAACAGGATGGTGTCAGCAGAGGTGATGGTTGTGCTTCAGTATGTTTGTTTGGAGAAAGGGTGAAAATACCAAATGGGATAAAAAGATGGGATTAGTCTCATTTCTAGTCTATGGTTTGCATGTGATCTAACAGATCTTTTATGATGGCCTGTTTGGGAAGGAGGTTTTGGAAGGTAATTTGAGTTACAGTCTGGGCAGTGACTGGGAAAATGTGGGGTTTTCTTTCAGAATAGAATATCTGCTACAGTAGCGTTTCCCCCAAATTTAAACTTACTAGCAGGGATACTTGTCTGGTTCCACTAAGGGTGAGGTGCCTAGAGATACTCAGGTTCTGACACTGTGCTGACTTGAACAGGAGACACTGACCGAAGTGCCCATTTCTGTGTGTACCTCACACTGCTCTTTGCAGCTCTTCAGCCTCCAGGGGGATTTTTTATCGGTTCCTGGGCTGACAGTTTTTATGGGGGCAAAAAAAATTGCTTCTGTGTCCACAGTTTAATTCAAAGACTCAGATGTAAAAGAATAATAACAGAAGGGTTAGAAAATATTTATTAACCATTTTAATTGCTGACAGGGCTCAGGGAACTCCAATTGTATCTAAAAACTGTCAGAGCAATTTAGCATTTTGGAATCTCTTCTGCAAACCCATTTTGGTTAACAAACGATCTCAATACATCAGAACTGCTGATGACATCTCCTGGAAGTGTTTCCCTCAGTGATCAGCTCTGGTGGTTCTCCCTTCGGTCCCACCTGCTCTGGGGGTTCCTGGCTCATTCTCTTGGTGGCTCTGCAGGTTTTTCCCCAGGGAAGCTCTTGCTGGTAACAAAAAGGTAGTTTGAGTTGTTGCCTGTGCCCTGAGCCGCAAGTTCTGTGGCCTCAGAACTGTTTGGGGCTTTTTTCCAACTGCATTTTGAAGATGGCATCAAAATACACGTAAAGAAATATTATGTTCTTTTTAGGATATGACTAATGTTGTGAAGATACAAATCATTTATTTTACTACCTCTAAACTGTTTCAGCCCAGTGAAGAAAAAGCTGTGCTAATTTATATCGCTTTGACATTTTATAATTTTCATGATTTTTAGATAAAGGATTTTATATTTAAAACTTTAATAGTCGAGTCTGAGTTCATTTATCTTTAATTTTTGAAACGGGTAGAGTAATTCATAACAGTAATTTTATTCCTGTAATGTAATATTCACTTCAGTTCATTTGTGCATTAAAATTCCTTTAAGACCGTTATTAATGATTTATATAATGAAATGTCATATTAATCACAGAAGTTTTCACATTTTATTATTCTCTTCCATGTTAATACTATCTTTATGATCTCTATTAATGTTTTATATCCTCTAATTTCAATTATAAATCAAGAACATTTTCATGTTTTTGTTGGTATTTGCTTTTCAGGGGTGCCACCTTTAAAATTTTATGACTTTTTCCCCTACATGTGCAGTATAAAACATCTTTATTCATATAAAGGTAGTTAATTATGTCTTTGTTTGTAGTAAACTTTCATTGACAAACTTATAGTTGTAATATTTCTTTTCAAGCTCAGAGACTAGAACGTCTGCGGAAAGAGAGACAAAATCAAATAAAATGCAAAAACGTTCAGTGGAAAGACAGAAACACTTCGTGCTCAGGTAAAAGAAAAGCTCTTCTGTTTCCCTACCAGGTTTATTTCTGCCTTTGATGCTTACAACATTCGCAGTTTGTAGTTTTCCCTTAGGCTTTCAAGGCACAGAGGAGATGTTAGTTCCGGTGTGCTGTGCAGGGCAGTGGCATCACTGGGGGCAGGGGCAGCACTGAGGCAGTGCCAGGGGCAGTGGTAGTGCCAGAGGCAGTGGCAGCACTGGGATCAGCTGTGGCCTGGGCTGTCCTTGCTGCTGGTGACAGCATGGGAAGGAGAAGAGTCTCTAAGTCCCAGCTGGGTCTGCAGTAACTGGAGTGGCTGCTTTGTTTGTTGGTATGGTGTGTGTGTGTTCTCAGGGTGTAGTTTCCTTCTCGGGCCCATGTTGTCCCAGTGAGAGCTGCACACAGCAAAGCTCTCAGTGTCGCTGCAGGTGAGATGGGACAGACGTGTCTCCCCTCTGGGGCAGGGGTCTACATCCCACTGCAGGATCAGTACCCTCTTGCCATCCCCAGTGGCATTGGATGCTCTGGGTATGATGAAGGATTTTGTAGAATTTTCTTTTATAGAATGTTTTTGTAGATCCTTTTCTAGATAAGGTGAAAATCTCAAGAAACAATGAGTGTACATATGATCTGCTTAAATGCAAGTGCAGTAAATGCCTTGGCTCATCTGCCCTTTTCTTGGTGAAATATTATCAATGGTTTCTCACAAAACAGGCCATTCTTTTTTTTCAATTATGTAATTAAGTATTTGTGACTGGATGTTCTACAGAGTTTAAATCATAATGTATGAAATGAGAAATCTGTCTCAATTCTCCTCTTTTCGAGCTCAGGCTGGTCTCTATTTCTGTGATATCTGACACACATTCAGACTTTTGTATGGTCTGTCATGCCTCCTCCTTTCAGAATTTGTGTATATCTTAATGAGGTCCCTCTGTAATCTCCTTTTTTGCCTAAATCCCCATATCTCCCTGGCTGTCATTTGCAGAACCTTCTCCAGCTCTGTAATATCTTTTTCAGAGGAGGGAACAAAGCTGCTCACATGAGCAGCACAGCTCTAATCCCTAACTCAGTGCTCAGCCGTGTTGGATCCTCCTGTTAATGCATTCGGAAATGTTTTTGCCTTTCTCCTTCTGTAAGCAGAGTTGTAGGTTTGAAAGGTTAATCTACCATAACCTCCAACTCTGCTCAGTATTTCATAGTGTTTGCCCAATGATGATGCAATTCTCTCTTCCCTGTCTATCCTGCTCACTGTTCCTGCACACAGAGCTGTGCTCACACTCCAGGTTCCTGCCGAGTCCGTGCCGCTCCTGGCCATGCTGCCCTGCAGACAGACCTGCTCTGTCCCCAGCAGTGAGGTGTCCCCTCTGAGCAGTGTGCTGGGCAGACAGAGCAGTCCCTGCCTGCTGCAGAGCAGGTTGAAATGAAAAGCTAAGGAAGTTACATAAAAACTCCAGGCACTTGCTGCCTCTTGGCAGAGCTGATTTTCCTTCTCTGCTTAGTCACTGTGATCTGCCTGTTTCTCCCTTACTTGCTTGAAGAGCAGCACTGAAGGAAGAGGCCAGGAGAGAGAGGAGCCTTAAAGGATTATCCCCTGTACCTTCCCCTTCATCGTGTGTGTGTGTATGTGTGTGTATGTGTGTGTGTGTGTGTGAGGCTTTGTCTGCTCAGCTCCTTGAGTTTGGCATGAAAAAGGTGCATGACAACAACAGCAAGAGCTGTTCTCCAAGTGGGGATTTGGCTTCACCTGAGCTGTAGGAGCCTTTAGAGGTGGAGCCTTTAGCTATCACTGCACACCAGAAGGATGCTGGAGTCTGGTGGTTGTGGCTGTGTTGGAGTCTGATGGCACCAGCTCCAGTGTCACTCATCACAGAGATGCCTCACTGCAGGGAGAAGCTCACAGCATTCCTCCTTTCCTGCATGGGATGTTTGGCATCACTGGAGGCATCTGGCAATCGAGTATTTTTTTGTCCTTCCCATATTTGTTACTATGCACAGAAACAAAAGCACATGAACGTTTCCCTAGAGACAGAATTTGCAGACAAAAAACTTGCTTTTGTCTTACAAACCAGTGTATTGGATTCTATGATCCTTTCCAAATGCCCAAGAAACACCAGTTCCAGGTAATGCTCCAGCGTAATCATAGCTGAGATTTAAAAAGCCTCAACAAGCAGGTATAGGAGCTTGTTACAGAAACACCCAGTAGCTAATGGCGTTACAGTGGCCACATGTAAAGGGATTTAGTCAAGTTTTTTTGTCAATCACAGCCTCTCCCGAGCCTGTTGGGGATCTCAGTGCCAGTACTTAGCACCTCTGCCAACTGCCTGAATTTCAGGCAATCTGCTGATAAAATAAACTGAGTTTTTGACCAGTTCTCGTTTGACAGTATTTCATTTTGCCCTTTGAGAAATTAACTGACTCCCTGCAGATCACGTCCCAGGCCGTTGGCGTCGGGAGCGGCTCCGTTTCCCTGGAGAGGAGGGATGGAAGTCTGGGAGCTGTGAGGGAGCAGGGCAGGGTCAGTCTGGGCGAGCTGGTGTTGGTGCTGGGGCAGTGATTGATGGGGTTGGGGGCTCTCAGCTCCTCGAGCAGATGTGAGCAGCCTCAGCCAGACTCGGTCGCAGTTCCTTGCCGACGAGCCCAGTACCGACGTGCTGCAGCACCATGGGCTCTGCCCTGCTTTTGTAGTGGCCTCGAGACATGAGAAGCCCTAGTTTTAGATTTGTTTTTTTAGAGTATGCCTGTAAATTTGGAGTTAAACTGTTGCTGGAAACTCAGCTGTGCAGTTTCTTCACACGAAAAAGCTGCATGTTGGAGGCTTTTATAAGCCACACAAAGAACTCGCAGCTTGTGTCCCCCTTCCTTCCAGAAAGCTGTTGTGTTTTGATGGTTCAGGTGGTGATCTGGAGTAGTGGTTTCAGGTTTGACTTTTTTGGAGGGGATGCCACATCCAGTCTACCACGAGAAGTAGAATCTGCAGAAGCCACTCCTCTGGCTGAGGGCAGTCCCAATGGAGCAGCGTGCGGCACCGTGCTGGGGCAGGGTGAGCCTGTCCCACGTGTGCCATGGGCTCACCTGAAGCTGCTTTGGCACAGGTGTTGTACATGTGTCAGCAGGTCTTCCCCGTAGCATTTCCTGTGCGTTTAGGCAAGCAGAAAGACCAGGGATGTGTCATTCTCTCTTTGAGTCCTGATTCTTATCTTGACTCAAGTGGATCTTGTACTGATCAGTTCTATTCTCTGTATGGGAAAAAGTCATCTCTTCCTCAGCCTAAGCAGCATCATTCAAGCTTCTTATGGCTTCACATCTTGGGCTGTGACAGAGTGGTGGCAGACTGGTTGTTTTATGGATTTGATTTCATGCTCCCTCTTAGGACGTTGTCTCTCTGTGGTGAGCAGCAGCCTCTGTCCCTCTCCTCGTGCCATGTCTCTAACCTCTCTTCTGACCTGCAGCAGAGGAGCTGAGCTCACTGTTCGAGAAGAAGAACTTCCGAGTGAGATCCCCATGCTCTGGGAAGCAGTCCATCCTGTCAGTGCGCCTGGAGCAGTGTCCTCTGCAGCTCAACAACCCCTTCAACGAGTACTCCAAGTTTGACGGCAAGGTGAGTCTGCCTCGTGCCCAGGGATCCCTGCCTGTCCCGTCTGGGGCACAGATCAGACACCACTCGGTGTTTGACAACACTGTACTCCGTGTTGTCAAATATTCCTCTCTGTCATCAGCTCTAGAAATTGAAATATAAACATCGCTGTGATGGATCAGTGTCATGTTGTTCCAAAACAATTATAAATACTCCACAGATCTGTTTGCTGCTGGATTTGTTTGTGGAATCTCCTGTGGGAGGATGAAGTTTGAGCTTCATTACCATCGTGATGGAAGAATTTCATATTCTGTTAAGTGTTCTTGAAGTGGAAAGTCAGACCCACAATTCCACTGGCATATCCAAGAGTGTCTGGAGTATGCACGAAACGGTGACCTTTGGGCTAGGAAGTCCATGTAGCCCAAGTTCCTCTCAGGTGATTCTATGCTCATTGCCATGTAGCCACTGGTGCCAGCTCAGGGTTTCAGAATTCCTGGCCTCACTGATGAGCAGCAGCAGCACTTGGTGCTGGCAGCACCAGGGACCTTTCCCCCCAGCTCCAGGTTTGCTGGTCCTGTGCCACAAAATTTCCCTTCGGCAAACACCTGAATGTACTTCCAGCAGGGAAGTAAAACAAAATACTTCTTTATTAAGATAGTTCTGTTGTAATTCAGTCATGTCCAAGTCGTGTTGCTCAGAAACTTGAGGAACGTCAGCATTTTTCCTTCCCTCTTGGATAATCCAAAGCTACCTCTGACTGTTAGCAGCAGTTGCAGTTGGCTCTCGAGTTGAAGTCAGACACGTTCAGTGTGTTTGGTCCGTGGGAAGGAAGTTGCACTCAACGTGTTAGTTTGGAGACCAGTGAAATACATCAGTGTCTCTCAATCATGGCCTGTAGGGTCTGAGACAAACCATTTTGATTGCGATCTACAAATCAAAATTCCTTCTCAACTCTCCAAAATGTTTGGATGGGCATTTTGGTCAGGTCTGATCTCACTGTGTTCATTTTAACACCACTGTTCATGTGCCTCTGCTAAGTGTGTCAATCATTCACATGTGAAATCTGTTCTCTGTAGCTCTGTGTGTGTTGTCTCATCAAACACCTGAGTGACCCTCTGAGGTCTAGAGGAAACGCAGTCCAGTGGTGAGTTATTTTGCTGCAGTTCTGCTGTATTTTCAGACAGTGACAAACCCCCAAACCATTGAGCTGTTGGAAATCGTTTTCATTGGAATATTGCACGTTTTGTGTCTGTGTGTATTGGTGGTAGAGGAGCAGCATTTTTCACAGAAACACAATTCTTTCCGGGAGCAGTGCATGACTTATTTACATAATTAACAGAGCTGTGCATCTCTGGGGGAAATGGTACATAATTGGGGAGAGGGGGATGAGGAGGGGCTAGGGGCCTAATTAAACATGTCTTAAAAACACCCTACTTAATTATGTATGTACTCAGGGGATCTCAGTGGCTCTGAAATCTCTGAGTTTATAACCAGGCCTTTGGTTTATGTGTGTTCGACTTTGGTAAGGCAGATTTCATCTCGTTGGGTTGGTTTTGTGGTGCATGGGCAAAGCAGGAGGAGAGCTGTGTGCTGTGTGTCCGTGTCCCTGTCCGTGCTCCTCATCCTGACTGGTTTCCCTCACCACTGGCTGACTTCAAGCCCAATAAACCCTGCTCAGGGATCTTCTCCCACCCCAACACTCTGTGTTGTTTCCAGCCTGTCAGTGAAAGTCTGAACACGTTGCTTGCTGTAATACCAAGCAAGCCAAGGTAGTCGAGGCTTACATCTTGCAGGTGTTTTCTGCCAGATTTAGTGTCTCTTTCATAACCACTTCTGTGATTTTATGAAATAGTAAAATTTTAGAGCACTCTAATTTCTTCCTGTCCCAATCAGTTAATTAATTGTCAAAATAGCAGAGAACGTGGCTGTGAAATGCAGCTACAACAGAGGCATTCCAAGCAGCCCAGGAATTGACACAGCTTGTCCCACGGCTACCCAGGACAGGTCTGGTGTTTCTGTGCACTGTGTGGCTCTGTGGAGACCTGCTCACAGCTCCACTGAAACCATCTCTGCGGCAGGTTCTCGCCCCTTTTCCTCCCCAGTCCACTGCCTTTGAGGGATGTTAGTCTCTCAAATGTCTGATGAGCTCTGGGAGGGTGTCAGCAGGCAGCAGTGGTGCAGGGCAGCAGGAGAGAGGTGCAGAAGAGATCACAATAGTCAGAGAAGAAAGTTGTAAAAACTACAGTGGAAATGTAAGGAAGGAATGGTTTGGCTCTAGAATAAACTGAAGTTATGGGGCCAAAGCCCTTTCCTACAGGCAGACCAGAATTTTCTCAACATGTTTTCCTTTGTGCTTTCATGGCTTGTTGCTGGGTGGAAGGAAGTTTGGCTTTTGTGGCCCTGTGGAGTTCTGTGGGTTTGCATCACAACTGAAGATAATCTCGATAAACATTGGTCAGTGTGGTTTAGGGCTGGACAGATGCTGCAAATCCTGCTGTGAGGAACTGTGCCTCTCTGCAGTGCCACAAGGTTTCTCGTGTCTGATTTTGGTAATGGGCTAAAACCCAATGATTTCTCTTGTAGCAACTGTTTCAAAAACGCTGCTGCAGCAAGCGTGGGGGAAGGGAAAATTCATGAGTGCTAATTGCTTGGCTGTTAATTTTCATAAGTGTTGATAGAAGCAGTTCCTTAAATTAAACTTTGTTTAAAATGTATCAGGGGAAATATTCCACAATGTCGGCCCGAAGTGAAAATTAATATGAATGCTGTGGCAATTAACACGTACTGGTTAATAGCTTTTAGCAGCATTTTGGGATGATAGTCCTTAAATACATTTTTGCATGCTGCTCTTGTTTCAGTCTTGTTTGACTGTATGTCTGCATAATCGTGAACAAATGTTTTCCACAATCCCCAGTATTAAATGGCTTTCCTCAAAGAAAGTAGATAAAGAACTCAAGGAAGAAGATATGCTGCTTTAATTAATATGGAAAATGTCTAAAATAATTAATCCAGGATTAAAATCTCAGTGTGGAAAAACAGCATTTTTATATTCAGATGTTGTGCCCTAAGCTGAGTGATCCTCATCTGAGTCTGCAGTGGGTTTGCACAGGGTTGTTTTTGAAGCATCTGCCTGTTGTGCAGCTGGAGTGGTTTGCAGGCACCTGCACTGGCTGAAACAGCCGAAACGAAGGTGTTTGCAGTGTCAGCACTTATGTAGTGTAACTTGTGTTGTGTAGGAATGTAGGGTCAGTGTTTGGAGCCACGTTCAGGTTGGAAAACACCTTTAAGATCAAGTCCAAGTGTCAGCCCAGCACCACCGTATTCACCACTACCAGTGTCCCAGGCACCACACCCACCACAACACTGGGTGCCCCATGTGCCTCCCGGGGTGCCTGTGTGCCTCCCTGGGTGCCCCATGTGCCTCCCTGCAGCCGACTGGCAGCGGAGGGCGATGGGCAGGCCAGGGATCCCGGAGGGTGAGCAGCCTCGGAAGGGGTTTTGAGAGACATAAGCTGCTGTGTCTTGCTCAGCCCCATTCAGATCTGTGCTGCAGTTCTGCAGACACCTAAAATAAGCCAAGGAACATGTGGTGGTGCTGAGCTCTCCCTCTGGTGCCTGAATGCTCTCTGGGACAGCTCTGCCCCAGCCGAGGGAGCTCGGGAGGTGAATGTCTGTGACTGAGACCTCTCAGTGCTGTGACGTGTCACTAGTGACGTGAGGTTTCATGACTCTGCCTTGTGTATCACGTGCTCTGCTGTACAGAATGTGCTTCCAGTAATGCTTTTGTTAAACTGGAGATTCTTAGCTGAAAAATTACCTCTTTCTGAAACAAATCTTCCTTCACAATGTGTGATCAGCATGAGTCCTGCTGATGGCTGAGGTGTGGCTCAGGGGAGACCCCTCTGTGTCAAAGCTGTGGTTGTTCTGGTGCCTGATCAGTCACTTACCTACTCCTCTGCACATTCCTTGGGGTTTGCTGGGCAGAGAGAAGCCCCACAGAGACACCAGTTAAATACTGGAGTGGAGGTTAGTGCATGGAGTCCTTGGTTTCCATCCAGGGATTAATGTACATTAAGCTTGACTGTTGCTTAATTTTAAATACTTCAGAAACTGTTTTGTTACTCCATACAGAGAAGCCATTTAGAGTGAGATAAGGAAGCACCTCGTGCTGGTGCCTGATCTCAAGTAACTGGAGGCACGGGCAGGGAGCTGCCAGAACTCTGTGCCAGGAACAGCCCCAGGAAGGACCTGCTCCGTGGGGATGTGGCAGGGGATGCTCTGGGTGCTCCACACACACCTTGTGGCACAGTACTGCAGCCACCCTCCAGCCCCAGTGCTGTTTGGGCACTTATCTCCCAGCTCCAGGCACCTTGTTTGCACTGAGAAATACTGTTCTGGCCTTATGCAGATGAAATCACTGCGGGTCTGGTTTGACTGACTGGCCTGGGGCATGTGCAAGTCACCTCTCCCCTCTCTCTGCTGGGTCTGTGCTGCTGTGCTTGCCATGCCCTCCCCGTCCCCAGTGCCCAGGAGATGATATCCAGGGGATCTGGGTTTGGTCATGACCAGTTGCAGTCTGCGCTCACTGAGTAAGATGAGACCTGGAAGTAAGTTTTAAGATGTGCACAGTGTGCCAGTGTGGAGCAGAGAGTAAGTGGGTTTGTTCCGTGTGCATTTGGCTGCAGCTGGTTTGAGTTGTCCTTATGAAGCGTCAGTGTCAGGCCCAGTCCTGTCCCCTTGGCCTACTGAGCCGGAGTGTGGCTGTGCTCTGCAGCTGGTGGGGCAAGGCACAGGCTCCAATGGCAGCAGCTGCAGAGGATGATTGGGCTAATCGAATTGTGGTGCAGCATCGCAGAGGCTGGAACCAGATCGAATTAAAATAGAGAGGAGATTTATGAATAGCAATAGCTGTGATAAAATTCCACTGCCTCTTTTAATGGGAAGGACCTTCGCAGAGCACAGGAATAAGGTTTCAGATTGAGCCTTTCAGTTCTTGGGGTTTTCTGGATCATGGAGGAAGAATG